TTTTATTAATATATAATAGTTATGAATAGTTGATATAAATATGTAAATATAAAAAAAAAAAAACATTTATTGTTTGTTATTTTAGTACATCAGGTTAAACTAAATGAGAAATGTTGCCTAGGCATCTAGCTGAAATAAAATAAGCTTGTTTTTATTTATAATAATTAATAATTTATGCATTTAGCAGACGCTTTTATCCAAAGCGACTTACAGTGCATTCCACAGGAACACTATATATATATATATATTATTTTTTTTCAGTTAATATTGCATTATTTCAAGTAATGCAAATGTTTTTATGGTTTTACTGTAGTTTTAGTGTAATTATTATAATAACCCTGTCATTAGCTTCAGTAATTGATGCTACTTTAAATTGTTCTATCAGTTGTCAGTATTTTTGATTCTAAAATTGTAGTTTTAAAATAGTCTCTGAATTTCTTTATTAATTCTTTAAATGAATGGATCTCATTATCTGAAATGTTTGTTGCAAATGTTATAAAAGGAAGTAAATACAGTGTTTTTTTCGTTGTTAACATGCAGAACGTTTTCTGACAGATTATAGTATTTATAACTAGCTGAATATGTCAAATATAATAGCGGTCAGGTGAATGTGTGTGTGGTGTCTCACTAGCGTCCTCTGCTGGATTCTGTTGAATCGCACTCACGCTCCTCTGTTGTTTCGCAGTTATGCACAGAACACGACGTCCCAGGATTCAGCAAATACAAGGTGTTTGACGCCAAACGTGAGTCTGAGTTTCCAGCACTGACGCTGAACTGATGTGTGTTCAGTCCAGCTGCTTTGAGCTGATCATGTGTCTCTGTGTCTGGATCCGCAGCCAGCTCAAAGACCATCTCTGGCCTGCTGGAGTTCGACAGTAAGACTCACGCCGTGGAGGTTCTGACGGTCCTCAACCACTATCAGATCCGGATCCCCAGTGAGTGACCACGTTCCAGTCCAGCCACGCATCAGAGATATCAGAGACTTCACTGTGGTCGTCCAGAAAACATGATAAAGCATTCATCTTCAGTCATACAGAATATTTCAGTCTGTTATGAAATGTATTTTGAATCAGTCTGAGCTGTATTTTGTCCAGTGTGAAACTGAATTCAGCTGTAGGTTTCAAACTTACTGAGGATGCCATTAAAACCAAAATCTACCAGATTATGATTTGTGTAACAGAAAGGAAACACGATGCATTAAGAGCTTTTGAACAGGATGATGATGATTTGAACAGTTTTTTTAAATATCATGTCATCATCCTGTTCAAACGCTCTCGATGCCTCGTGTTTTCTTCTGCAGCGCCGGTGCTGTTTAAAGCTTTTGTTTTAGTTGCATCCGAGTCCCTCAGTTATTTTTTGTCTGATCTCTTATTTTGGTCAAATCATGAACACTTAGCAGATTCTGTAGTCGTCTGAGCGAGCGTTTGTTTCTGTGCTGACGGTAACGTGCTGATCATGTGTTCTTGTTGTTTTTCAGACGGTTCAAACCCGTACACACTGAAGCTGTGCTTCTCCACCTCCTCACACCTCTGAGCCGGAGCGACCGACACCATCGTCTTCATCTTCATCATCACCACCTCCCCTCAGACCCCACTCACCCCCGGGTTTAGTCCTCTTTAGTTATTCATCTGTGATCTGATCAAACCAGGAAACACACACACCACTCACACACTCACTCGCAAACACGTACACACACACACACACACAGAGTCTGGATGTGAAATATAATGATGTCACTCCAGATGATGCACCGACTCCACAGGAACCCCATGAAGAGGCGATGAAGGACACGGGTCGTTTGATTGGTTTATTTGCTCCGCAGACCATCATCATCATCATCATCATCTGAACTGGAGAAACTGAAGGACTGACTGAAGGCATCACGAAGCTGAACTGACGTGATGAACTCTGTATTATTTATGTGTGCAGCAGCGGCTTCACTAGAGACTACCGGATCAGCTGCTGGGTTAACCGCTTAACTAGTCACATGAGCTGTACTTCTGGTTTGGTTGAGTGAATGCGGCTGCAGCCCTGATCCAGACACACGTCACATGATCAGCAGTTCACCAGCTGTGCGTGAGGATGTTCACTGAAGTTCAGACTAGCTATTTAATGACTACTAGTTAGTTTGTAATTTACTCCGTTAGCACCATTAGTTCAGTCTCTCCGGACAGTAACAGGAAGTGATGCTCAGCTTTACTGATCCACTAACAGAGCTTCTGCAGGGTTTTAGGTAAAGACAACACAACACATCAGTATGGTCTCTAAATGTGGATGTCTTGTTTTAGCAACACTTCAGAGTTTGAAAATACAAACTCAAACTGATCTTCATTGCTTTTTAATTCTTTTTACAAAAAGCTTAACTAGAAATCAGAATCTGTTCTGATGGCGCTGCAAACATCAATCTCTTCCTCGGTGTCTTTCTCTTGTTTTCCAGTACAAATATCATTTTGCATCTCCAGTCAATGTCTCCTGATTTAAGGATGTTTAGAAATATGTGTCCCTGCAGCACAAAAGCAGTGTTAAGTCGCTGGGTATTTTTGTAGCAATAGCAATTGATATATAAATATATCAAAACTTAATTTTTGATTAGTAATATGCATTGCTAAGAACTTCATTTGAACAACTTTAAAGATGATTTTCTCAATATTTAGATTTTTTTGCACCCTCAGATTCCAGATTTTCAAATATTGTCCTATCCTAACAAACCATACATCAATGGAAAGATTATTTATTCAGCTTCCAGATGATGCATACATCTCAATTTTGAAAAATGGACCCTATGACTGGTTTCGTGCTGCAGGGTCACAAATGTGCTGGAAAACAAGAAACACTGAGGAAGAGGTTTGTTTTTAATGTCATGCAACATTTAATGCCACGAATTTATGAATTGAAGACTTTCTGCTCTGATTTAAGAGCTTTTAGGCCTTCATTTGTAGACGGGAGAATTAAACCTTTATAAGACCTGCAGAAACCCTGAGACGAAGCCTTCAGATCTGATTTCAGAGTGTTTCGATGCAGTGGATGGTTTATTCCTCACTCAGCGGTCAGTGGGGATAAATTACATTTCTATTGAAAGGGACACAAAAATAATCAGAAAATGAAAATTCATGTTTTCGAATGTGTAAATAATATGAAGGAACTGTGTCTAAAATTAACAAAGGGCAATAAATGCATACAAATACAAATAATTACATAAATGCACATTTTTATTTTTAATATGTTAATTATTTTGTTGAAACGTGACACACTGACATGCAGCATTTCAATGGGATTCATGATGAAACGCCTCTCTCAAGTCTATTCTCATAATATTTTCTTTTTTTAAATGTAGTGGAGTGTGAATGTCTTCATCATCATCATCTTCATCATCATAACTGAAGCATGAGCTCATGATCATTTCATTATTTCATCAGTCTGCTGGTTTTCCTGATCGGAGGCTTCAGCTAATATTTCGTTTATCTGTGGAGTTACTCTTTAACTAAATGTAATGGTGCATTGCTGAGTCTAGAAGTCTGTTAATAAGTTAGTGTCCATGAACTAGTCCTAGTTTCACAGCTGGTGTAATCGGTGTGTGTCGGTTCTTCAGCGGCTGCAGCGAGAGGAACATGATGAGCTTCACGGCTCGCCTGTGGATTATGATTATGAGATCATGTGTGTAACTGACACATCAACACATCAGCTGTTCACTGTGAGCATGTGCTGCCATTAAACATCTGCAGGTCACATGACTGTCTGTCATTCATCACACATGAGTGACATCACACGCAACCACTGACACAACAGACCACCTCAACATGTGTGTAAGTGTGTGTGTGTGTGTGTAAGTGTGTGTGAGTGTGT